TATATATATAGTTTGGGATTATTTTTAATCGCCGTTTTAGTGTTCTTAAGTAAAGTGTTTTCTGTTCATTTTGAATCAGTTATTTTATTGAATCTAAATGTCCTTCTATGCACTGACCTGATAAAAGACAGAATGGATTGAATCAGCCTTTTTAGTTGTCCATCAGCATTTCATTTAATGAAAATAAATTCCTCCTAAGCTTAAACAGGACACATCTACAAATACTTGCATGTCACAACCTGCCTAGACTCCCTGAAACAACACGGACATTATTCTAATGAGATCCGGACTCATTAATCACAGCCTCTAGTGTAAATCACAGCTGATGTCATGTCTCACACAGAACCCTACTGTTCCACCTTTAGGTTTCAAAACACAAACTGTCAAACGCCTCGTAAATTTCAGGCACAATTAGGAACAAACCTATAATTTAGATCTAAAGTAAACATTAGAAGCTTTATGGCTGCAGACGGAGCAAGAGGTTTGCAGGAACTCACCTGCCTACAGGTCCCACAGCGACTGTGCAGTTTCCCCCTAGCGTCAAGTTTCCGCCTTTTGTAAACGCATCAATCGCCCTCCGCTGGTTCAGGATGATTACCAGGTCAGACACCTGTATACAATGCGGTGCATTCAAGGACCATTCGAAATCCTAGAATTTTGTTTTTAATAAAGCTTAACTTACCTCCACTCCGATATCAAAACCTCCACCCAGTCCAGCGATACCGATGGCGGAAGGGGCAGACCAACCTGTACACACAGCACACATTAACGGTTATTCTAATGACTGAAATGACTCTCAGCTACTACCACCTTTATCACACACACAGTTACATCATTGCTCACTTTTCATGACTGCATGCAATAAAAAGGTGGTATCTAACCAAGCTGTGACTGCTGGAGACTTAAAATCGAAAAAAAAAAAAAAAGGAAAAACTGTTTAATGTCTCACCTAATTGTTAATGTTTGGGGCTTCATTTTAACAGACAATACAGTTTTAATGCGCACAAACAGAACTGCATTCTTGGTCGCACAATACATTTTGTTGTCCATCTTTGCCCACATCATTCCCACCTCAGCACCGGGCCCCATATTTATGATTAAATTTGTTAAAATACAAAGAAAATGGAGGTGGGTGCAAGACACCTGCCACAACTGATTTTTTCAGTTGTGTTCAATTGTTGCACAATTTTAAACATGTTCAAAATTCCAGCAACAGGATTCATGAACAAAAGACAAGAATCACCACTAGATATTCTAAAGTAGTGATGCTAAATAATGGTTTTTGAAGGAGACATATCATGCTTTTAAATCCTTCTTTTCACATTTAAATCATCATCATTTGGGGTCTAAAGTGGAACTACATATTGAGATGGAGTGTAGTGAGAGAATTATTAAAAGGAAAAAGTGAAAGTGATACAAAAAGTATGCTGTCACATAGGGATGGCGTGATTTATGATTCAATCGTCTATCGGCAATTGAAGGGTTAGAATGTAATTTTATTTAAAGGGCGATCTTTATTAATTAATTAAATGCCATGCCAGGGATGTAAAATAAATTTTAAATGTGCCCTTCTCTGTAAATTAAAATGTTTTAATCATCATCATTGTGATCTGTGCAAATGAGGGAATAAAATCACAGTGCTTCGTCTCTTTTTTCCTTTTTTTCTCTGAGTCTGAGCCAAAATGCGCAGCTCCACTTCACGTCATCTTCTTGCTTTGGTGCACCACAAATGACCCAAATAGTGCTATATTATAATGTTTAAATACAAAACGAATAAAACATGACAATCACACATTTGAACAAATAATTTTAACCAGTTCCGAACCGGACCAGAGCGCAGTCCCTCACCCCTGCTTCATCCCCGTCACTCTGGGCTCTGTGTGCGGGTTGAAATTTTCACCCCCCTATACATAAGAACACATACGAACTACAGTATATGGTGTGATTGGTCAGAAGTTTGTGGGAATGTTTGTTTGTGCTAAAAGCGCTCAGACACTGCGTTTGCTTCAACCGCTCACTTAAAAAAAAGGAGAAAAAAAGTGACTTGTTCGAATGTCGACTACCAGGAAGCAGCAATTCATAGTCAAACGGCCAGAACCTCATAGAAGGGGATAAAATAGACTATTTTCACGGTGAAATCTGACTGATAAAAACTTTTGAGCTTAATCCTGGGTGAGTGTCGGACATTTTTTTCCGCATTGGACTCCCTCCGGGTAGAAATCCCCTGTAGTGACATATGCAGCAGCAGGGAGGGGGTTTCCCAGGAGCTCGGCGCGAGGGTCTCAGGAACTATGAAAGGTATGTGCGAACATGAACACCGAATAACCATGGAATTCACAAGCGACTTCAGAAAAAAAGAAGCCGTCGCTTATAATAAGCGGACCTGCTTGCTTTTTTTTTAACAACGTAACTGCGCATACCTTATCAGCCGATTGGATCGTCTATCGGCGATAGCCAGTGACCAAGATTTATGATCTGAAAATAGGGACGATTTCCCATCCCTACTATCATACACAAAGTGTCAAAGAGAAGTAAATTTCCATAAACTTTACATGGGAATTATGAGAGTTAGTTTGTCCCCACTTTTAAGTTAACGGTATCAAAGTCAAACAAAAATATAAGCATTTGGCTTTGTCATAGTTAAATAATGTACTTGAATTTCTTTATGAATTTAATTTAATCTCTATTTACAAATACACTAACCAACTGTTCCATCAGTTTGTGGTCACCAGTGTCATCTTTTACACTGTAGTGTGCTGTGG